TCTTCCTTTTGGCACTGAACTATTCCACTTACAAAGGGCAGATGAAAGTTGTTCTAGATATATGTTGACTCTTGTCTGATTGTAGTTGTGCTTTTCTGATAAAGCCTTCTCTTTAATGCCAACAAAGCTTTGGAGGACATGTGGATGTATCATCATTGTATCACTCCTTCATCAAGAAGAGACTAATTTCAAGATACCCCCAAATAAATGTAATATTTCTTCTGGGTGCATAAATCTTTTCCATGGTGTAAGTGAGGAGCCTAAGCTGGATCCATGATTGATTCCTGTGTAAGTATAGAAGTTACTTCATCTCAGCCATGGGAGCATAATCTTTCACCCTTAAACTGATCCAAACTCTCATGTAAATTTGGCAGTGTGTGCAGCTCCAGACTAAATATTGTCAGATATTATTGGCTCCCATCAGCTGAAATAAATCCCTCCTTGCCATAGCCCCGCCACTCAGGTCCTGCCAGCTCCTCGAAGGTGCCCTCTAGCCCCAGACTGGCACCCTGCAGCAAACACAGGCACTGATCCTCTGGGCACACAGACCCACAGTGGTAGCGACTCTGCGCCCTACAAACCGTGAGGAGAAAGGTACTGAAGCAGCACGAGGGTGCAGGCCGATCGTGCATGCAGTGCCGCCCGGGGCTGGAGGGAGCAGAGCTCCTTGCTGTACCACGGGGTGCTGGCACAGCTCACCCTTCCCCAGCGAGGGGTCCGTGAGCTGCGGGCAGCCCCCTCTGGCCCCGGGAAGGTGCTCAGTGCCTTGCGTCTTGGTGCCGGCACAGCTTTTGGTTTGGGTGAGCGATGGGGAAGGGGTGGAAGGCACATGGTGCACCACACAGCGTCCCGGTCTGTGGGTGAAGATCATGCTGCAAAGACAGAAAACCAGGGACATCGGGAAGAATCGTAACATGGGAAGGAAGAGGCAGCCCTGTGACTGGTAATTGGTAATAAGAAAACTCCCTGGGTCTCTGCGAGCTAAAAGCTGCTGTCGACGTCTTGTCTGGCCAGAGCCTGCCACAGCTGGGCTCCCAGCAACTCCAGTGCGCTGCGTCCCCTTCCCCTGGGGAAAGGAGACATGTAGCTCATTGCAGGCAAATGCTAAGAAAATGAGGAGAGGATATTTGACTCTTGGAGATAAAAGCCTCATGCTGAAAGGTGTTCCAAACCCCCTGCTTTGCCTGTGCCACGGAGCAGGGCGAGTCCTGTGTATTGGCAACAGCAAACGTGCTCGTGACTATTGAAAGGCAAACTGCGAGTGTCTCAAAAACTTGGCGCATTGTGCACTCAGCACTGTAGGATAAGCAAAAATCTTTCCGAGTACAACATTTTGTGATTAAAGGCACATATCAGGGAAAGTTTCAGAATGGAAATGAGACATTGCAGGGAAACAGCAATAGGACTGAATATGTCAAATGGGAGAAGAGGTGCAAAAGATGGTCCTTCAAGCCCACCCACGCAGGTAGCTATGTCAGTAGCTGATGTCACCTTCTTCCTAGAGAGTGGAGGGAAAAAAAAAAAGCTGCCGTCTCTCCGTGCCTCTCCCTCCCCTCAGCTCCAGGTCCAGTGGCAGGTCAGCAGCACGGGCTGGGTATTTGCTCTGGTCCCTGCAGCTCACAGCAAGGTACCACCATTGGTTTCAGAGCGCATTATTATTTGTGGCAATGAACGGCAACAGCCAAGGGCTGTTAGCTTGGTCAAGGTTTCAGTATCACCAAAGGGCAGTTCCTCTGCCCTTCTCCGCCCTCCACCTTCTTGCATGTTTCCTACAGCTCACAAGTTACCCCCACAAGAAAAAAATATTCTGTTTTCAGCCAAATGGGCTGCTGGCTGGCTGCACGGGCCCCACCATGAGCCTGGGGAAGACTGAGGGTGGCTGTGCGGAAGATGGAGAGAGGCAGCCCACCCTTCCCAAGGGCAGTGCAGATTTAGGCAGCTGGCGGCCCACCCTTCCCAAGGGCACTGCAGATTTGGGCAGCTATCTGGCGTTGTCTCCCCTCAGCCTTGTTTTCATGGCTGCCCAGCTATGATAGCCAGTTTTCTCACACAGCCTCGGCCTTGCTCTCCTCTCCCATCACAAGCTGCACTGACTGGGCACCGGGCACCTCTCCATCTCCAGTCTCACAGCACCAGCCAGACAATAAGCCTGATCAAATTGTGTATCTGCAGGGAAGCAGGTTATCAGGCAGCTTCTCGGCTAGTACAAAACCAAAACCAGCAGAGCCACAGCCGCTCACACCACGTCAAAGCCAGCCTTTGCCTCCAAACAGAGGGACCATGAGCTTTTCCACAAAGCACAGCTGCAGTTTTCTCCTTCCCACCCACTGCCTGGGTTGTGCTGAAACTACAGACTCCTTTAGATTCATGATAATTGAAATGCTAAGGAAATGGGGACAGGTACTGGGCCATCCTTCCTAAGGGTGTTTTACTGGCCACCAGCAGGTAGCCCTGAGCTGGCCTTGGCCTTGGGGCTGAGCTCCCACATCCCCACAGCTGCGTGGGTGACAGATAGGCAGGGTGTCCCCAGCTGCTATGCTATGCCATGCCATGCCATGCCATGCCATGCCATGCCATGCCATGCCATGCCATGCCATGCCATGCCATGCCATGCCCTCTCCTCTCTTCCCCTTCTCTCCTCAGCTTGCCCCTATGCAGGTGATTTCCATCCAATTTCCATCAAAAGGAGCCAGACATATTTAAGCTGCAGAGCTGGCAGCCTTGTGAGAGGAGGGAGAAGTGTTTTTTCAGTCTTTAGGGGTAGCAGCTGATGGTTTCTTTCTTTCTCTGTCTTAGTAGCCTGCTTCTCTGGGAGGCAAAGATGCAGATCTCATTTGGGTTACACCTCCTGAAGCATTTATCTTTTCGTTGTTTAGGAGTACGGGTGCATTAAAGGCTGTGACCTTTCTGTCCTGATGTGGCTCTGGAGTGTGCGTTAAACTGGTGCGGCAGTTGGATTGCAGGTGGCAGAGATGTGCACTCTTTCTGGGACTGTACATGTGTGATACCTGATGGGCTGTATTCCACTGTTGAAGCTTGCTAGTCAGAAAAGTGTTTGCTTCATTAAATGTTTTTCATTTGTTTCTATTTCCCTTGGAGGGGTGGTGTGTTTTTTTTTTCCTGGCTTCCACAAAATTAAATGTGTCAGAGATCTCTGTAATCTGTTATCTCTAGCTACTTTCAAGAGAGTCCAGATCACTTTCAAACCTCAACAGGTCATGAGGGCAAGGCTTAATTTTCTTTGTGCCATACACTTTGCACCTCACCACTCCTCCCTGTTTATTCCTGATATGACACATCCCCCTCCCCTCCCTCCCTCTTACAACCCCTCCTTTACACAAGCTGATATGTGCTTGTTCAGCCTTGCAAGAGCTCACTCTATGATATTTCAATCTCTGCTCCCTGTATATTGTTTCTGAAGAATCTTTTGCTTTCAAAATAGATTAAGGTAGTGCTAGGCTGAACAGACTTATTTCTAGGTAAACTTTTGGATTAATATTGACAGACTGTGAAAAGCTTGCTGCACTGCAAGGAAGTCTCTTTTGAGTAGGGGGAAAAAATGCTTTTTCTTGACAAGTGATTGTTGCTATTTTTTGTTGATTATTTTAACTATTGCCATACCCATAGGAACTCAGTGTCAGTGAAATCTGTAGTGCCTGTATTGATCCTAAATTGTGTCAGTAAGAACTCTTAGATCTTAGTGAAAACATCCTGAACTCAGTTGTTTTGTCTTAAGGCCGAGTGGTTGTCTGACTTTAAACTGACAGATCCACTCTTTGCAACATGAGCGTGATGTTTAACTCAAACACAAGCTATCACCTAGGTTTATATCATTGTGACAAGTCACTTTGAAAAGAGCACTTGAATAAGCTTCAGGTAGGGACATTGTGGCTGTTGTTCAGTTGTTTCTTTAACAAACTTTTAACTCTTATGAAGGCAATTAAAACAGCCAGTGGCTGTATAGCTATTGCAGATACCTGGGCAGTATGTGAACTCCTGTACCTTTGCAGGGCTGCCATCAGAGCTGGGGCAGCTGCAGTCACCTGGGCCTTGCTGGTTTGGGTATGACTTTATCCAACACAGTTTTTATGGGGTTTGGTAAGGAGGAAAGTTCCTAATGCCTTATTTCAGCTTTTCTCTGTGGAGCAGAGCTCAGGGTGGATTTCTTCTGGCCCTCAAAGTGTGTTAGTGACAGCTGTAATCAACATAGAGGCGCTGATGCTGTTGATGAACAAAAACAGCTGCTGGAAAAAAAGGGAAAATATGTTATTTTATTCCTAGAAGCTTGTATATAGCTTTATAAAGTGATGCTGCATCTTAGTCCTGCCAGGACTTCATTTAAGCCTGTATGGGACCCATACCTTCAGTCACATGGGTCCAAAAGACATCAGTGCTTACCAGTTTGGGTTGATGGTCGCTTGAAGCAGTGTCTGTGTAAATAGACATCCTTCTGTAAGGTTTGGAATTTTCCTATTTAACTTTTTAGCACTACGACTCCGTTAAGATTTGTTCTGGGCTTTCAGAAGTAACTGTCAGATCATTAACAGCTTTTTATTAGCACTGAAAACCATGGGAGGGAAGCTGCACTGGTCATCTGGAGGCCTTGTCTTTGCTGGGCAAAAGGTGTTTGATGCCAGATATTAGCTCATGTACTGCAACACAGGGTGCAGTCCTAGGTGTTTTAATTTCACAAAGAAAAATATGTTACAACCTCCTCTATAGATGAGACAGTGAACTATTAGATCATTTTGATTAGACTGTGCTGGAAGGCTGAGGGTGAGAGGAGGGGAGAAGTCTTGCTCCTCTTGACGTCCAACAGGACAACCCTCTGCCTTTTTTCTTATCACAAATGCAAGCTCATAGCAAGCACTTCAAATCAAAGTCACAACTTGGCCAGCTTATCAAAACAACTATAAAACCTCAAGGAAAATATGCACGTGTGGGCTGATTGATATATTATGTGGTTGGCACTAAGAGGGCCCTGTTTGTGCCATTTGCAGGCATGGCGGAAGCGCTGGTTCGTGCTGCGCAGAGGCCGCATGAGCGGGAACCCAGATGTGCTGGAGTACTACCGGAACAACCATTCCAAAAAGCCCATTCGGATCATCGACCTCAACGAGTGCGAAGTGCTGAAGCACTCGGGACCCAACTTCATCAAGAAGGAATTTCAGAACAACTTTGTCTTCATTGTGAGAACCACTTACCGCACCTTCTACCTGGTAGCCAAAACTGAGGAGGAGATGCAGATCTGGGTGCACAACATCAGCCAGATTTGTAACTTTGGACACCTAGAAGATGGCACAGGTAGGATCATGCTCATCCTGGGGGTTGGGAGAGTGATCTGTGTCTGAGCTCCTTCACAGCAGCAGCCAGGGTGAGAGGAAGCATGGACCTTGCTGGCTGGTTGGGCTGGGCAGATGGTGTGAGACTCTGTTTCTTACAGCTCCGAACAGCACTGAGATGCTGCTAAACCCTGATTTGAAAGTTATCAGGGATCTCACTTCTGCTGGGTAGAAGGAATAGCTGGATGCTTGGTCTCACTTTGATGAAGCAATTCCTGCTAGAATAAACAGCAGGTCCTTAATAAGAAAAGGTACTGTTTATGTGAAAAGCTGACTGACTGTTATCTTCTGGGGCCATTTATTGCATTACATGGCTCATATTTATTTAGTTTGACTAAATGTAAGACACCTGTTCTAGGGAAGTGTTCTGCAAAACTCTCATTTTCTCAGGCTTTTCTGGATGTGGAATGTGCACAGACTTGGGTGTATATGCACATACATAAATCAATGACAGAAGCACTGAGCTGTCTTAGTCTATTAATGAGAAGAAAAATAAAGAAAAGGCAGAGGACAGGAGAGTGTTAGAAATGTGCGTCTAGACTTAAGAGATGGTCCTGCCAGTGAAGCATAAAGTCAGCCTGTTTTGTCAGGACCTACACCTGTATATACTCAGTGGGGTGAATGTCTTGGAAAGCTTCCAAGAATTAACCACTCGAAGAGAGATGTAGCCAGTAATTAAAGTTGGGGCCAGTATCATTAACTTACCTTTCAAATGAGACAACTGGGCTCAGATAACAGCAATCTGTCTTTCCCTTGACATTTCCAAGGGGCAGATACAGCAGCAATTTGAGATCTTCATAGGAAGTGAGTCAGAACGAAGTACTTCACCATGATAAAAGGTAGTGCAAGAGCTGAAGAGGGTGGTGATGGAGGCACCTGATCCCAAGGGCAGTAATATGTTTGGGGGGTATCACAGTGTGGCTGGGCAGATTATCCTGCCATGGTCCCTGTGCTGCTGCACTCAGACTGCTGCTGGTGTCTGTAACTGCTGCATAGCCATACCATTACCTTCTAACTTGAAGCAAAAGGCCATGGTGAGATGTCTTCTTCTAATCTAACCTGGTTCCTGGCCTTCTTTAATCTCCTTCAGTAGTTTATTCTGAGGGGAAATGGGAGTGAAAAGAGCACTGCAGTGGTCCTGTTATAGATCTGATGGTTATAGATCTCTCTTCCTACTCACTTTAAAGACCACCAGGAAAATGTGCTGACATATTTTTATGTGCCAGTACAAGCTGCCCATGAATGTAACTTACAGACTAGAGCTGATAGCTTTAAGAGATTGGAGTAAATAGCCCTGTGGAGCTTGGATGTAATTAGGGATATTCAGTAACCCCCTTCCTACTGATCTGCCTTTGTTGACAGTGGGATGCTGGTCTTGCATTGCTACTTCTGGTGCAGTATTATTTTAGATATAATTTTACCAATTACTCTGAAATTAAGGTGAGTCTTTCTGTGCAAGAGAAAAATAATTTTTGTGTCTCAAATATGTATGCAGACTTCTTCTGCTGGCACTGTGTTGAGGATGTGCATAAGGAGATGTGATCTATGGCAGAGGAGCTAAGGTAGCAGTTGTCTCCAGGATAGATGCATTTATACTGGGAAATGTCTGTTCTGTTATGCTGATACAGCACAGCATTGCTTGTAGAATTTACACATAGGCAACACTCAGAGTATTTATCTCCCAGCAAACATAGCTAGTGTAGACACTGACAGATGAGAAGTGACAGCTCTTGGTGTGGCAGTTGGGAAAGCTAACTCCCCAGCTTTCGGCTCTGTTCAAGGTGGGTATTACCCCCCAAGAAGTTCAGCAGTGCAGAGCATTTGCCTTGGTTCAGTGTAAAGTCTGGCACCTGAATTTATAGCCCTCGTTACAGACTGCATAAGCCAAGCTTCCAGACATGCACTTATATCTAATGGCAGATAGCTCATAAGGTCTTCTATTTGTCCTGCAGCTCATGCTGGTGAGGTCAGGTCTGGGGTATACTCAGGTCAGGCTGCAGGGCATGTTCAGATCCTCTGATTTAAATCTGCGCAGTTCCACAAGTTGAAAATCACATTTCAAACAGTTGCTAATTGCCTCAGATTTTTGGAAGCACCTAAATCTCCCAAGAGCCTGTAAGTTTAAACAAATTACCCTTAAAAATTAACATAAGAAGAAAGAAGCTCTATTGAATGCCATATGCTTTTTTAACTTGAATGTTACTGTGTTAAAAAAATAATAGTCCTGAAATGAATCATCAAAAGAAAGACACATCAATTGCAAGAAATTTTAATAAGCTGTTCTGTGTATTAAAATTAATCTCAAAGCCAATATTATATTGTGAAATCAATCACTCTTAATCCTCGCATTGGAAAACTTGCTGTGACTTTGAGGCCAAAACCAAATCTGCTGCTTTCTCTGCTTAATGCACAGAAAGTGCAGCCATAGGTTTATGCAGTGACTCAGCTGTAAACACCATCCCGTTGTTCCCAGTTAGTCCCAGTAGCAAAGCAGCTGGACAAACAGCCAAGTCCTAGTCATCAGAGGCCTCTGTTCTGACATGTAAGCAGCCAAATGCAGACCGAAGCTAGCAAAACCGCGGCTGGCCCTGTGAGGACAGCTTTTTAGTCAACAAGAGAGAGGATGGCTGAGAGACTGAGAGACGGAGGTGAAATGCAAGCTCTAGGCAGATGTCAGGAAGCACCTGGGAGGGCGGCTGTCGGGAAGGACTTGCCAGCAGCAATCATCATGCTGCAGCACTCGGCTGCCACAAGAAACTGCGCTGCTGGCCGTGCTGAAAATGACGGGGGAGCTGGCACCTTCAGGGGAGTCAGCTGGAGAGGAGAGGAAGAGGCTCCCTCCCTGTTTTCCTACCATTTCTATGTAAAAGCTTGCTTCCACCTCTGGTGAAGGCTCCCAATGCAGCAGTCATTCCCCAGTCCCACGGCACCTGTGGGTCGAGAGGACACTCGGGCCAAGTGTCTGGGCAGGGCAGGGGAGGGGATGAAATAACGTGCACTCTATGCCACATGCAAGTTAAACCCACAATTAATTGACATAATGCAATATAACAGCTTTTCATTGGAGAAACTGCTGTGAATGTTATTTAGGCATTTTCATTAGGAAGCCTTACTTTTAAAGATTGTAGCTGTGCACTGAATGCTCCCTCAGGCCATGCCTTGGCAGGCAGCTCCTCAGCCCAAGAGGGACCTTTTGTCTTGGGTCCTCTCTTCACTTCCACAGGCTCGGAGTATTGTTCCACATCCCATAGAATGCCTTTGCTCCTTCTGGATGCAGCCCTTACCTGAAGGTCCCCACTGATCTCCATCGCTCCCCTCTTGCTCTGCTCTCTCCCACAGCACCCAGGCCCTCAGTGGAGCCTGATGTCCCTGGGGAGGCTCCCTTACTGGTGCCCTCCCTGCACAGTGCATGGAGCAGGATGTTGTCAGGGTCACCCTAAAGTGACAGGTTACCCTTGGGTTTGGCTGCTGGCAATTGGATTTAAGAATTTCTACTCCTCCATCTCTCCCTCACCTCTGGTTACTCTGTTGTTCACACCTATCCTTGCTGGGACCTTCTCCCTTTCTGCCCACTCTGCTGATGGTTTCTTTGCCTCTTTGCCCCTTAAATGTTTGTCTTTTTTTTTTCTTTTGCCAATGTGCACATACCCTGCCCCTCGTGGTATGGGGGTGGTTTGATTCCCCAGGACCTTGCTACAGCCACACTGGGGAGCATCTCTCCCAGCCAGGTCAGTGTGCTGGGAGCAAGGGGAGCCAGGACCACTGCATTGAGGGGCTCCTGAGAGGGACTGCGCTCTCCTGGCAGAGATGCTTTCTCCTGAGCATCTTCACTTCGTTTCCCCACTCTGTTCCCATACAAAGCCGGGCAGGCTTGGTCACTGCAGCACCTGGCCCTTACACAGGAGTTCAGGGGAGGTGTGACGGCTCCTCCCAGCCCACACTGGAGGACAGACTCTGGGGCTAGCTGCTCCCTCCACACTCCCCTCACAGCGAGAGGAAATCCCTTCTCAGCTGCACAGACTCAAGGCTGCTCTTTAATGTCAGGCTCTGGCCCCGGGCCAGGCAGGGTGGGTGGCATTTCTACCACCTTGGTATGGCTATGCAGCCTGGTGGGGGGCTGCTGTGAGCAGGACCCCCTTATTTCACTGTGTCCCTGCACTGCTATTGCACCATAACATTTTGGGGGGAGTGGGCCGAGGTCTGTAGCAGGAGGGAGAAGCCCTCTGTTTCTCCAAGCAATCGCCCTGCACTGCAGGAGGATGCGTCCACAGTGACTTTCCCCATCGATGCAGAGCAGAGATTTTTTTGGGTTAGTACCCACCGAAGCAGTTATTTTGGCAGCCGAAGCCTCCCGCTGTCTCCCTGGCAAAGGGGAGGGCAGGCACCAAACCTCTTCTCTGCCTTCTCGCTGTTGAAAGTGGCCATGCATAATTTATTCTACTCAGCTGCTGTCGTGGTACAACTTTAATGCATGCTGATTCGGTTACCAGCAGAGCTGGCAGGGACAGGGACGGTCTGTTAGGAGCTGGCTGCAGGTCCCTGAGCCCCTGAAGGTTAGAAAAGGGCAGGTCTGCATCATCCCCATCCCTCCCTCCTGCTCACAACAGTTGCCATGTGATCTGCAGCTCACAGCTTTTCCTGATGGGATAATCCATGGCTAAACCCTGTGAGTACCAGATGGAGTTCAGGCCTGTTTGTTCCCTGTGTCAATAATCTAGAATGTCATTAATTTCTTTCTTATGAATTGTGGTAGTTTTTATTTTGGGGGGGTTTTGGTGTTGGTTTATTTTTTTGGTTTTGTGTTTTTGGTTTTGGTTTTTTTTTTTTTTGTAAATGTGGTCAGATGGTGATCTGAACATGCTTTTCTGAGATCCCTATGGAGTTAGCCTGGTGCATATTTGATCATCCTCAGCTTGCAAGACAGCTCTCTGAGTCCAAGATTTGAAAGCAGAGTTACTGTCTGAGCCAGCACAATGAACAAGAGAAAAGTTATTTTTCATATGGGAAGGCTGCAGCCCCCAGCTCTGTTTTGCAAATGTGAAACCCCGTAAAAGCCATTCCTTCCAGATGCTCACTGCTTAAATCCTGCTGCTATAAGCACCTGCTCAAAATTAAGCAAATGCTTTGCTTAAGCTTGAATTTAAGCATGTGCTTATGTGCTTTGCTGACCTGGGGTCCACCAGTGCACCAGACCTCCAGAGCTAACAGGAGGAAGCAGCAGTGAGTCAATACTGGTAGGTGGGAAGGAAAGCAGCGGCTCCCTCCCCAGTTTAAAGGGATGAGCTGTGGGCTAGTGCAGGGAGAGAAGATCAGCTGTTTTACTCTTCAGACTGAGATCAAAAAGATGCCGGGATGAAGCCCGCTGTGACTGGTGTGAAAGTCTGGGTCACTAGAGGGTTTTGTTTGTGCTTAGTGATGTTGCTGTCTAACCACCCAAATCTTGGCAGCCCTCTCCATCTCTCCTGACGTGCTTGCACATATACGTAGCACCTCCCAGGGTTGAGAAGTGATTACAGCAACCCAGTACAGTGCCAAGGCTTGTTGCTGTGTTGAGCTGAGGACTAGGTAGAACCTGCCAGAGAATCTCAGGACCTCACTGTACAGTGCAGGATCTGGCCCACAGCATGCATGCAGATGGGCAGTGGGCTGGTTCCCAGCATTTCCAGCAAACTCTGGATATCAGCATTAGAGAAGTCTGCCTTCTTGCTATACTTGGAAGGCATGTTATGCTTGGTTCAGTTTTATCAGCAGTAGTTGGTTTCTTGTGTTTGTTTTTGCTGCAGGGTTTTTAATTTTGAAGGGTTTTGCAGCTTTGACTCGGGCGGTATCTGTGCTTCAGCCAGAGATGGGTGCTCACTGCTGAGTCCTGAAGGTGCTAGGGACAGCTGGGGTACCCAGCGAGCACTGCTTGGTCCCCCTGCCAGCCCTGGCAAAGGAACTGCCATGCAGCAACTCAAAACATTAGGAAAATCGTATTTTCTAACTGAGGGATTGTGCTACTGGTATTACTGTCTGCGCTTGCTGCCAGGAGTGGATGCCTTTGGGGAGCTGCTCTGCAAAGACACCCCAAGCCCTTCCCACTCCAGAGCTGCCTGTGGTGGGAGGTCTAACTTGCACCGAAGACTTGATTTTTGAGTTGAAATGCCCCAAAAGCTGGGCCAGAAGATGTTCTTAGCCTTAACTCTGTGTGGCTCAGCCATCATTCCTTCCCCTCACCTGCCCAGCATCCCCAGCTCTCTAGCTGGGGCGGAGGCTGGGACAGCAGCAGAACTGGATTTGTCTCTGCTGCCAGGCAGTGCTCGGGCCAGCGAAGGGGCCTTGGTGGTCGGAGGTGAACCTGAAGCAGTGCAAATGGCCAGCTCTGTGTAGCCGGGGCCAGCCCTGCGGCCTGCAGCCCAAACCCGCTCCCCTCCCCGCCGCCACTCCTCACTGTGCCGGGGCAGGGAACTGGAGTGTTATGCCCAGGGAAAGAGGGGTCGTTGAGCACAGGTTCCCCTGTGCCTTGTGGCCTCTAGAAAAGTAGTGTCCCTTTTCTCAGCAGAGCCAACAAGCCTCCATCTGGGCACTAACAGCAACACGACAGCTCTCATGGATTTGATGTCCAGCCTCGAGAGGCATAAGGAGTTTGCAGACAAGTTCCGAGGTGCAGCAAATCCGGCTACTCCATGAGCCACAAAGCTCAGCTTTGTCCACTGAGATCTAGAAAATGGGAAGAAAACAATCCCTTTCCTCGTCACCATTAATTTGAAGTGTTGGAGATTAATAATTAATTATTTGTGTTAGGTCCTAAAAAATATTTGATAAAACAGACTGCTCTGCCTCAGCACTTCCCTCAGCAGTGGTTGTCTTTGTTGCTGTCTGCAGGAGGGGTGATACAGCCCTGCAGGAGTGGGGGACCCCAGAGTGATGGGGGCTCTGCATCTCCTTCAGCCCCTCGATTTGGCAGCTGGCTTGCCCAGCCTGGTCAGAGGGAGCAGCTGCAAAATAACGCTCCCCTCTCCCCAGAATCGGTTTTTGCCTTGACCCACTGCCACTCTGGGGTAAAACATCCCTGGTGCAAAAGCAAGGTGGCCTTGGCCAGGAGAGGCAGTGGGCCGGGGTGAGTCAGAGCCATCCCTCAGCCGGGGCCATCCTTTCCCATTGCAGGTTCGGTGGAGAGCCTGTCTCACACGACCTCGTCCCCACAGCCATCGCCGGCCGCCTCCACCCATGCCTCCCGCATCACTGATCCCTCCTTCTCAGTCGACCACACTGCTGCTGACACGTCTGCTGCAGAGGAGACCCCCAGCGAGTCGGAGTCGGTCTTCCTCCCCGACTACCTCTTCCTCTCCAACTGCGAGTCAGGCAAGCTCAGCCACAACAGGTAGGTCTGGGGTCTGCCAGGTGCATTAGGACAGAGCCACCCTCTGCCTGCCCAGTGATGCCCTAGCAAACTGGTCCCTGAGCCCTACCACTCAGGGTAGGCTCCCATCACAACAGGGGACCATCAGCCTAACCCTATTTGCAGGGGGCTTTCCATAGTGTAGATTAGCAGGCGAGCGTTGTATGTCGGTCCTGTCCCTTTCCAGGGTCAGTGGCTGGGGACCTTGCATACAGCCTTCCTCCAGGTGCCTTTTCTGCCTGCTGCTTCCCAGGGTGTTCCACAAAGTGCCCCATCCCAGCTCAGGGGGGACCTTCCACAGCCATAGGGAAGGGACAGTCTTTGTCCTGAATGTTGGAGTTGGGTTTTTTTTCTTGCTGTGCACTTGTTCAGTTGCAACCAGGAGAAAAGGAAAGCGCAGGTCCTGACCTCTGTCTCTGTGCAGGTGTGACAGCTGGTCGAATTCGGACAGATCTCTGGAGCAAACCTCATCAGATGATGTTTTTGTCGACTCCTTGCAGTCCCAGCCCTCGTTGTACATTGTACAGCCATCCAGTGCTGGCACTGTGCACCAGGACGGGGCCCCACTGACAAATCCCAGCACCGTGTCCAGGAACATAGACATTAGTGGGCCGCCCAGTGACTTTTCCTCCTCTTCTCCGCTGCTGGGGACACCGCTGACACCAACCTTTCAGATTGACAAGAGCCAAAACGCGCTGCCCTATGGTGTAACCCAGCTGGACATCCTGTCCAACACGCCCCCGCCACGGCCGCCCAAGCCAACCCACTTCTCGGACAGGAGAGGGGATGAGGTGGGCGGCGGAACCCTCCAGAATGGGCATGCAGGGATCTGCCGAGCTCAGGTCGCTCTGGTGCCCAGGAGGATCTCCTTGTCCAGCTTAGACAACGTGAGGAACTGGAAAGGTGAGTGCATTCCCAAAAGCTGGTGAAGCAGGACCAGTGTGAGGGATGGAGCTGCCCACAAGCCCAGAGCGGGTGCCCACCTCCAGTTGCACCTCCCTGTCCTCCCCTCAGTGAAATCATATACCACCCAAGGCAACCTGAAATGCTTGTTCCAAATTAATTAGCAAGTAGGATTTGGTCCTGTCCCTCACATTCAGCTTGTGCTCTGTAAAAGCCCCTCAGTGTGTACACACAGGCAGCAATTTGGCTGTGATCTCTTCGGGGTGCCTCATGACTTGCTAGTTTTCCATGCCCCCTCTCTCTCTCCAAAAAAGAAAGCAGTAGAAAAACAAAAATGAAAAGCCAGCCACTGAATCAGGCAATGCCAAGCTCTCTATTTATGGAGGTCAACATGTGGGCTTGCACATGGGAAGTGCCTTTGTAGCTGTGCTGCTTCGCTACATCCAGTCCTTTCCATAACAGCAGCATGTCTTTTTACAGCTTAAAGAATGGGAAGTCAGGGAGACGCTGGAGATGGGATGTAATCCCGGCTGAACCAGGGACTCTGTGTGTCCTTAAGCAAATCCCGCTCTGGCCATGCACTTCAGTCAGGGTAGCCTGAAAAACTGCTGCAGAGCGAGGCTCTGCTCAAAGCAAATTCTGCTCTGACCTGAGGTGACTTTTCCACTTGTTCTAGAAACACTACCGTCTCAAACAAAACTAATAGTCAAAAACCCAGAAAATCAAGGTGTCAAAAACCAGCATATGCAGTATGAGGAAGTTTTATTTTGTGGAGCCACAGAACAGAGGGAGACAGCTAGAATATCTGGCTGGAAATCAAGTATTTTGCAGTGATGTGTCATTTTTGATGAGGAAGAAAATGCAGGTTTTTAAGGACAAGCATCCTTTAGACTCCTGTAGTTTGAATGACCACTTGGTGTTTGGGGCTGTTATATCTTGCTCTTAAAGCTCAGAAGCTAAAGCAGGGAGATGTCTGTCCAGCCTGTTTATCAGTGTACAAACAATTCTTGGAAGGTTTCTGGAGAAACACCCATCAGCAGAATTGGTATTCTTAATTATCAGTTATGTTGGTTGCTCACTGACAGGTGCTGCTCTTGCTTCTGCACGTGTGCTGCTTGAATGCTGCCAGCACGCTTGAGACAGTTAATGTTTTTCCAACCCAATTTACTCCAAAACGTTTTTAAGAGCATTAAGTGGCCAAATGTCATGTTCTGCAACCATGCTGCAAGGTTATCTCTGCCTGACAGGGGGCAGCAATGAATTAATAAGTGCTGCTATTTTTTCTAAGTGCAGCTGAAACTATTTGAAAGGTTAAACTCTGAATTAAAATATGTTTAACAAGAAAGATCAGAAAAAGAAACAGGGAGCATCCAGCTGTTCCTCACCAGCTCCCAGAGTGAGCCCACTCAAGTTATTTACTTAATTTTTTGCCATTGGCAACCTGTAAAAGCTGAACAGATGCAATTAACCCAGGGCAAAGACAGCATATGCTGGTTGCGGTGCCGTGAAGTGGAATGAGCTGGACACATGTAAGGCACCTGTATACTGGCATCTGCCAGAGCATTGTGCCTGAATGTCTTTTTGCCAAAATGATAAATAAACGTAGCTGCCCCAGTACAGTGACTATGTCTATCTGAATATACATCTGCACTAACAGTATTGCTTTGTTCTTGTTTAACACTTTTGCCTTTTATGCTGATACCATAACAAAGATCCCCAGCTGCAGTGCAGTATTGACATCTCTACCATAAGAGCAGGGACTGGATTAACATGGTTGCAGGGTTTTAAGGCATTCCCCCCGAAAAGCCATTTTCTGCACAGAAATAATTTTCCAGAAAAAAGATGGTAGTTGTAAGCATCTCTCGCTGCTGATCTGCTATGCGCTGAATGCTGGATTTCACTTTTTCTGCCTTTTGCTTCAAAAATAAAGTTGACCTACACCAAGACAAAGGCCAGCCTGCACAAGGGGTCACTGTGACTGGTGACCTTTTCTTTGGCTGTTTGTTCTTCACCAGCTTAAGCCACATAAGCATTTCTGGGTGACAAAGAAAAATTTCTCTCTTACCATTAAGTTGCCCCATGCACCCTCTGTACAATAACATGTACTTCCCTGGCACCTTACATATCAGGCTTCTAAATAACTTTTCCAACAGTAATAAATTAATATTCCCTACATTCCCTTTTCATACAATTTCCCCAATTTGACAGATGAGAAAACAGAGCAAGACTAGAGCAGGAGCTGGGTTAAATTTTTGCTCAGTTGCTTGCTCTCCACACCACACCAGTCTTTCTCCCCAACTGCTTGTATTACAGAAAGCGTAAGTTACAGCTGGATTATACATGAACATATTCCTTGGTTTCATCATACTTAAAATAGATGTAATTGCTCTTGAAGAGCTACTGAGTTGGTTCTGGTCTTAAGTGTCATTGAATTTCCTCATTTAGGATAAATACTAGGAGTCATGGAATCTTTATAAAGCTCTAATTATTTTAGAGCCATATGTTTTACTCCAGAATTATCTCTGTAAGATTGTACTGCCTTATCACATTTTTAATCATTTTTTTTTGACTTCCAGCAGACATGGAAGGCAGTTCCTTAAGAAGTCGGGATAAGAGGCTTAGCTTGAATTTGGTAAGTACTCTGCTTGCATAAATTTAAAACACTGACACATGACAAACTTCAGTAAGTGAATCTTTTCACATCCTGATATTCTATCATTCCTCGCCTGTGTTCAGCAGAAGAATAAAAAAAATGGAAGAAGCACTTGACTTTGGGCAACTTCTGTGCTGCTTCTTCATGGTCACAGGAAGCCTTTGAGAGAGGAGGGAGAGGGAAACCACAACATGAGCATCCTGTTTTTAAAGCAGATGAAGCCAGGTCTGTTGTGAAAAAGGATACCGGTAGCCTCAAGAGTTAAACTGTTGACCAAGAGCACATGAAGAAACTGCTTATCTCTTGAAAAAAGGGTCTAAAGAAGCCTATTGCTTCATGATCCTGAGGGATATCTTCTCTTTAGGACATCGGAAAGTCTCTGCTCTCAAAGTGCCTGTGATTCAGGGCTCTGTTATTCCAGAGCTTCCTGACTGAGCCTTTGACAGACATGGTTATACTTAGCACCATCACACATCAGCTAGCCAGTCTTCTGCCTGGCGCTGGATACTGTCTTCTGTGTAGGAGATCCTTTGCTGCTTGTATGTAAACGCTGGTGGTGGGCAACTTATATTTTACTCCCCTTTGAAAGTTTGCAAGGTTTGTAATTTCAGAAGCAACTTGTAGGTTTGTGTGTCTGCTCTCTCAGCTTTCCCCATTTGCAAAAATTTGGTTCCTCAGATGTTCTCCTTTCAGATATTTTTTGTGTGAAGGAGCCTCCTTCATTTTATAGGTCAGAATTCCTGCCGAGAGAGGCAAGTGCAGCCTCGCTGAAGTTGGAGGATTTAACCTACTTAAGTCACTAGTAAGTTTGGTTCTAGTTTCCAGAAGTGACTTGCGAAGCTCAGAAGTGAACTTCTCCAAAGCTGGAGCATGTGTCCAAACTCCTGCACTTGTCTCGTGTCTTTGAGAGTTTGTGCCTCTCAGAAAGGTCCCATCAGGACTCTCCTGGTCTGGGGTTCAGCTCAGATCTGTTGCCAGCTCACGTTACCTGGCTTGCAGGGCGTTAGCTGTTCATTTGCCAACCCGCTTCTCTTTCTTTTCCTCCTCTGCTTCTGAAGCCCTGTCGGTTCTCCCCACTCTACTCGACTGCTTCGGACAGCACGGAGGACAGCTACGTGCCCATGCGCCCCAGCACCTCTCCCTCTGCACCTGGCTCCGACTGTTCACCCGACGGCTACATCCCCATGAGCCCCGGCTCAGCCACGTTTACCTTTCCTGTCGTCAGCACTGAAAAACTCACCAGCCCATTACCTGAGCTTCCCTCGGACCTGGAACCCCCTCCGGTGAACCGAGACCTCAAGCCTCGTAGGAAATGTAAGCCCAGACGTAAAGTGCAGTTGGCAGCAAGGGCGTCCTGATAGCAGGGACACGGGTGACCTCCTTTGATAGTGTCCTTGGCACAATTTAAAGCACTTTCCACTCTAGAAGGCAGATTGAATTGCTGTGTAAGTGTCTTATAGTACTGTAACGTAGGATACATCGTTTGTGAGCAGAGGAAGAGCATCCATGCCTACTTTTGCAGTCGAAGACCAGGTGGCTGCATTAGCATGGTGCATGGCTTCAGATCCACGCTGATTGCAAGTGACTGTAGCCTTGGAGAGATCGCAGACTAAATCCTGCAGCTCTGAAGTACATGTACTGCTGTCTCACCAGCTCCCTGACCTTCCAGGAACAGGACATCCAAACACTCAAGTACCCAAACTTGTTGTGTGGGCTGTTGGTTAAACCTCAGTTGGGTAGGCGCAGCTGTCTTGGTTTAATTAGGAATTTCCTGCAGATGCTTTTACTGATGTTAATTTTCCACTCCTGCTTTTCATGGCATCTCCAAAATCTGGGTTACACTTCCAGAGGATATGCTGGGGACAAAATTCAGCTTTGCAGTGGAGAAGTTGCCTAAACCTAGCATACGCTAAAGATCTTTGCAGAGCCACAGGGCTACTCAGAAATTGAGTGGGGACAAAAATTTAGATCATTGTCAGGAAGCAGGGCAAGCTCAGGTCCTCTCTTAGAGGGTTTTGAGAATGGAGTGCAAAATATACATTGACTGGTGAGAGGGATGATCCTGATCTCTATGTGTAGGACCTTTTTGTTTTGAAGAGAGCCCAAAACCTGTTTCGACCTGTAGGCAAAACTGGTCTCTCCTCTTGAAGGCAGCATATGCAGAGCAGATTTGAGGCAAGTACATGGATCTTGTGGGGCATTTGGTCTCCTTATGCCCATTGTATTTATTCAGCTATTTTAGGGTAAATGAGGGACTTTGCTTTACAGCACTGACCAAAGTGGTCATTTGTTACTGATTTCTGCCTTGGTTATATCAGTTATGTTCTGTGAAATACTCTGTTAGTTTCTTGCTGTTAATATAAAACTGCGTTTTTCTGAACACTTTGTACTTTTCATTAGCTCTGCTATTGGCAATGTCATTCCCTTTGTATCTACTTGCAGCACGGCCACCTCCTCTGGACTTGAGGAACCTCTCTACAATCCGGGAGCATGCTGCCGTGACCAGGATGTGGACTGTGCCTTAGTAAGTCAACAAAAAAACTGCAGTTCCAATCTTTTTAAGTATTAACGTTGTGGAATTGAGTTAAAAATAACTTATCACATCCCACAAGAAACAGTTTCCTGGCAAAGTCCACAACAAAAAATTCCCCAGGGCGCCTTCCAGCGTCCCCCAGGCTTTTACTGTCTCTAAAAAGCAAGTTTCCCTTTCACAACAGGCAGCTCCAGCACGTTCAGCATCACGCAGTGATGCTCAGTCTGTTTTGAAGGTTTCTTTTGAAAAGAATGGAGCTGTTCTGAACTCTGGTGTGGCTGCTGTGATGGCTAAAAGCTAAAATGCCTTAATTATTTTTTTTCAAAGGGATAGAGCCATTTTTGTTCCTAAAATATAGCAAAGGAGAACCAGATAAGCTAAAGATCTGCCTAACTTGTAGCCTGGGTAGACTTGTGCACCGCCACACAGCAATTCAGACTTGATCTGTTGGTCTGACCTTTTGTCACTGGAAATTAGTTGTGGGGTAAAACAAATGCTTTTGGTCCCAAAGCCCAAGTAGTATGAGCAGAAGACACTGTTGGGCTCCAAAGGCAGTGAGACTTGTCTTCAGGGAACTCATAGCAGGGGAGGACTGCAGCCTGCTGCTGGGGGGGATCCTGGTGCTAAGGGAAAAGGCTGACAGGAGAGCAGCTGTGCTGGAGTGTGCATGCAGAAGCCAGCAATTCCCATCAGCCTCCTCTGCATACCCCAGCCACTCCGGGAAAATGTGGTTTTTCACTAGCATGAGTGCCAGATGGGGCATTTCCACTCCCCTACCTCAGGTTCTCATTTGGAGGTCAAAGGGACTCAAGATGGGCAGTTTCTTGCAGATAGCTCGCTCAGCCGTATAGTCCAAAGCCAGTTCAGCCCTTTGGTGCTGCCCGTTAGGGAAAACCAGCAGTCTGCCTCCCAAGCATCCCTGCCAGAGCACTGTGGTTAATTAGCGCTGACACAGTGCAGAGTCCTGAAGGATAATGAGCTCAGAGGGAGTTTGCATGTTTTACGTTAACAAAACTAAAAAAGAAGTATGCCCGGAACTAATAAAGCAAAAGGAATTATACTGTTCATGCTGCACTAAGTGGCCATCTAATTTCCTAATAACTAACCCCATTGTGCTAGCCTGCAATAATTTACTCACAATATACCTCTGACAGTTGTTAGTGGAAGAGATTTCCTTGTACAAGGGCTGAGTCACAGCCATCTCCATAGCACAGATAGCATGTGTTTGCACTGTGTTCAAAGCCGGACAAGTTTCTCTGCATGCACCTTCAGTAGCTGATTAATTCACATCAGCCTCCAAAATGTGGATACCCACACAAGTAACTGCCCCATAGGCACGTATTACCCGGATGAATGATATCTGTCTCTGTGCCCCTTGTTGGAGAATTTAGCCAATGTTTTATCCTTTCTGTCATACCAGAGATGGCAAACTTTCATAAATCCCAGAAAAAAAAAAAAATCAATAAAAACACTCGTAGCCATATAGCACACTTTTTCTAGAACTAAGGAGTGGTTTTGGACATCCTCTCCATAAAAGCTGCAGCGTTAGTGTGAGTTTATTCACCATACGGACTATGTCAGGCTTTGGCTTCATTTCAGAGCATCTGTAAGATGCTTCCTTAACCTCTCCTGTGTTTTTCTTCATAGCAATCGAATGAGCTTTATCTCACCAGAAAGAGACGGTATTAATTCAGCAAGAATATTTGCCAATTCAGTTTCCGGAGAAGAGGAAGAAAGTTACATTCATATGGTAATCTTCATTTTCACACAGCCATCCTTTGCTTTATTCTGCTCTGTCACATTGATGGAGAATGCAGAAGTTTGTTTTCTAAGAAAAAATGTTGAGGAGGTTTGTCCTTTGCCTTCTGTTTTTTAAAAAAATGATGAAACGGTTTTAAACCAAAGACACTGGGACCAATTTACGGAGAGATGAGGGAAGCCCTTCTTCTGCTCTGCAGAACTCAGCTGTTCGCCCACGAATGTTGCTGAGCAGTTCCAAGAGATCATAGGGATCAGCCATATTTACATGAGAACTCATTAAGGCAAAGGAAAATTAAATCTTTTCACCTTTTAAAAGTGTGCCCTGCAAAATCTCCTAGGAAATGACAGAAAGCCGTTAGTGCACTTCCTAAAGAAACACACCAAATATTGTGCAGAAACAGAACTCCCATTAAAGTCTCTTATTGCTTCTGCTTTGGCTGGTGGCACTAACCCCACTTCCCATCCCATGAAAGAACATCTGGCTTTGTGGCTTCCTTTTCTTCATTCACTCTTTACCCATATCTTGCAAAAGACCAGAATCTCAGTTTCCTTTGAATTTTAGGTGGAAATGGATCTCGAATCCCTTGATCTGAGCCAATGTCTACAGATTTGGCTTCATATCCAAAGCCCAATGGCTACAGAAATATATTGCAAAACTGACCACAATCTCCATGGACCAGTTTCAAATTTTAACCGACACCTCTACTAGATCAAAATCTGCTCAGGACGGAAGTTCCAGTTGTAACTACTCCCCACTTGCTTTTCCTGGTCAAATAAAACTTTCTATACATTTTTGGTCACCTGTGTTTTTCCCGAGATTAATTTTCAGTTGCTAGATTTGAACAGAATTATCACCATTTCTTCAAATTCATAGAATGATGGTGGTTAAGAGGGCACCCCTGCAAATCTGAGCCTTCCAAAGGCTTGGGTAGAGAAGCTGGGCACAAGTCTTTCGTAATAACACTGAAGGAAAATCAGCCTGGTTTGCTTGTTTTGCCACAATTACCAGGAGAAAAAGGCTCTCACAGTTTCTTTATGCCATCCCACAATTAATCAGTGTAATCCTGTAGTTAGTCACCAAATGCACCATTGGCATAAAAAGTTACATGGATACTGACCCTCCACACTTGCATTCTACCAGATGAGTGTCCCAGCTCACAGTTGTAGTCCTGCTTCCTTTTAGAATCATGTTTTAAGAATATTAAAAGTTTCTCTTCTTTTCTGACAGGATCACAGACAGGCAACTTCTCCATACAGTGGTGCTTTTCCATGGACAAGGAAATCTAACCTTGATTACTTAGCATTGGATTTTAATTCTGCTTCCCCATCCCCTGTACAGAAGGTATGAGTCATCTGAAAAACCCCACAGCCTCCTATCGTTTTGTCTGCTGGGAGGAAAACAAGACCAAGAGTCACACTCTGCTAGGTGCCCTGAGTATCACGGCAAAGCCAGTTGCGTTTCCAGCTGACTGCATTTGTGGCAGGCTCAAGATTAATATAATAAAAGCACTATTAGGGTGATGACAAGGTGTCCTTAGTGTGACTCAGGGATGCCATTAACAGGAGTTCGGCAGAGGGCATGAGACTGCACTGGGATGTGCAGTCATGAGGGCTTGTGGGCAAGCTTGTCAGTGCTAGCAGGATCTCTGCATGCTGTTTCATTTTCACTAAGACACCACAAACCCTTTCTTGCTAGTTTTCCCCCAAATCTCTTTGCAGTAATAAGTTTACAGCTCATGATATATTCACAGGGTAAAACTGTACCATCTCTTGTAACATGGCAAAAAGTGTATCTTTATTCTTGCATCACATTTCAATTTCCTTAGCGATGCTGAGAAAATACATTCCTTGTTCCAAAGAGCTTATAGCCTGCCCAGGTGGTGGGGAGGTACCACTGCAAAGCAATGAACTGTTGCTGGTTTGGGCCATTTTATATCCTGTGTATCATTTTCCCCATCAGCTAATACTCCTGGATGCAAAAGACCCAAGACTCTTAAGCTTTCTTATTTAAACCCTCCCTCTAAATGGAGTTAGGTTACCCCTGCAGCAGGATCATTTGGATGAGAAGAGAATAATTATCTGCATGGAAATAGCCTGAACAGCACGTTGCCCTCGCTCGCTGTGCTGGGCTGAGTGACAGGGTGACAGATGGATAATTATAGCTAAAGCAGGCTGTAAAGCAGTGCTTTTGTCAGCTGATGTCACTGTGAGCTACAAGGTGAGGTGAAGCAATCAAGGAACAAGGGAAAGGGAAAACACAAAATCAAGCCAAGTTTCACTAGCATGCCTTTTCAACCCTAAATTGAATACATTGTTTTTTATTTCTCTCTCCCACAGAAACCTTTCCTCTCTGAGGAGCAGAGAGTGGACTATGTCCAAGTAGATGAACAGAAGACTCAAGCTTTACAGAACACTAAGCAGGAATGGACAGATGAGAGACAATCGAAAGTCTAAAGGAAGAAGATTTGGGATCTGGAGGATTTTGTTTTTGCACTGGAACCACAATGTTAATGAAGCAGCTATCACAGTAGAGTTCAAAGGCAGAGAGAGTTGTAAGATGCCTACAGTCTGTAGAGGAATGGCATTCTTAATGGAAACCTTTGATTTCAGTTGGAAGTAGTATGTTGAATGAGAGAGTGGTTCACTGATGATTAAAGTAATGCATTACCCCTTTTACTGCCCTTACCAGTAAGCTACATGGTACCGTTTTCTGGCATGATTCTGCAACGAGTCATACACTTAATGTTAACAAATCCACTACATGTTGCATTAATCTAGTTAGTCCTGCCTTCTTCCTCTATTGCATAATTCCTAGTTGCTAAAGCTGTTTTTTGATATTCCTGCAAATACTGTGGGTGCTGAGTGCTTTTATGGCAGCGGGCATCTGACAGGTATTGGTGACTAATCAACTAAGGGCTAAAATACTGAAACAATAAAAAAACCTTTTTGAATATATAGTGCTTAAGCAAAGAGAATTTTGGAAAATATTTTTCCCCCTGGGTTTAAAAGGTCTGACTCTGAGCTGATGCTGTCAGAAACCCAAAATTGGACTATGTACCAATGGGACTGGAACACATGGTCTTTGACCTTCCGGATGACGGTCATCGTATTAAGCTTCTTCTCTCTATCGTGGCTCACACTTGTCGCCTTTCTGTCTGATTCCTACTGATGTTTTCTACCCTATCTCGAGGAGTGTCTTCAGCACAGCACAGCTGCTCCTCTAGCAGGAGGCTGCAGGCACACAGCTCTTGGCTGGCCAAAAAATAGAAAGGGAAGCTGTGAGCCTGTTTCTGCAAGTCTTGAGAGAACTGGCAATGGATCAAGAATGCTTTCATCTGAACTGCAGAAGAAATGCCATTGGAATTGCTGGTAGCAGTCATCAAACTGATTGTTTCTCTAGACCCACCCCCCAAAAAAAAGCAAATTAGGAAGTGCAGCGTGCTCTGAGAGGCTAGCAGGCCTGCCAAAATAAAACAACAATGCGCTTACGTGGCGTGAGGACCTCTGGGTTCAGGAAGCTTATCTGCCTTGGGACTTGTTACAGGCACTATCTCAGGATCACATATGTGTATAGTTTATAACATATTTAACTTTAAAAGCTTGGCTGCAATCTTTATTTTAAGGTGGCACACAACCACTGGAATCATGGAAGTATGCAGTACCGCTGAGTGACCCACACTGGATTTGATCTTGCTGGCTTTGCTCATGCAGGTAAGTCCCACTAGCCATAAAAGGTCTCATCCTGTCAGCAAGGACAGACAGCCAGGACCCTTACAAAAGATTTTCTTTTTGACAGTGCCAAGTCACTGGCCTCCCTTCACGTGCCTGTTGCTACCACGTTGTATTATTGTAATCCGACATCCCAAAAATGCTGATTTACCAAACACAGGTTGTAGAAATGTCATTGCAGAAACCACTGGCATTTCAAGGCTCCTACTTACTGTCGTCCATGCACCCATTCTGCTTCAGCCATTTGGGCACTATGGGAGGCTGAGAAACGTGGCCAAGTTGCACGTCCTGCTGGGAGAGGCAGCGTAGCGAACAGAAACACCATTTTTCTCCTACCTCAAGAGAGCTGAAGTGCTTGTAAGTCTTGATGCAAATACAAAGCTGGGGATCTGTGGTGACCAGGCTCTTACTAGCTTACCCTGTGAGAACAAGGAGGATCATCAGCACCTTTATTGACTCTGGGGCAAATTGGGCACCCAGGCCTGCGGGCATAAAGTGTCCTGGACTAGACCTGCTTGGAAAACCGGGATTTATACTGCAGATAGCTGACCTGCTGTTTCCTCCTACTCTGCTCCTCCACCTCCCACCAAAGCTCTGAAATGAAAATTAATGTTCATAGAAGTTTTTAAAAGAATTCAGACTTTTCCATATAAATCTTGTCTATCTGGTGTGAAACTTAGTTTGCTAAAACCCAGTTGTTTTGTCTTAAAACTGATTTAGGAGAGCTCTGAGCAGCTGTGCCCTGGGTGTGGTATTGCTACAGGGGAAGTGGGTTTGGGGCGAGGCAATGGAGATCTGTGCCTCCACAGAGGTGTTAGAGAGAGGTAAGCAAGGAAAGGCCATGGCTGTAGAGATGTTTGCCTTTCTGCTCAAAAGAATTGCCTTCCTTTCAAGGTGTACAAGTAATAGATGTTACTGAAAGCCTTTGGTACATGCAGCAGTACTGAAAGAGTTAAAAGACCAGCTAAGACGTGTATTACAGTAGGGGACAGAAAACATCCACAAAGGGCAGCTAAAATTATGCTATGCTACTGCAGATCCCCAATGGCAGAGTGGTGTCATGGCAGCCTTCAATGTGGATTGCAATAGCATACAAATCAGCTCATGTTTGACTGGAGTGTTTCTTCTCGTGCTGTCAGAAAATCTTCTGAAGTGGAAAAACAAAACCACAGAGTTATTGGAGACAACTGACTCACTTGTTATTCTACTTTATTGTAGAAATATTTAAACTTTGACAAACCTGGCTAACAGATCATTCAGAAGTCCAGAAAAGAAAGAGCTCTTTTGTTTGTTTTTCGATTTTTTTTTTTCCCCTGAAAGGACATAAACATATAGCTTGGCAAGGACTGTCCCTAGATCAGAATGGCCCCCTTTCAACTTCCACATGTTCCCTGCTTGTTCCTCCCACACACACACACTCTTGATCAAACACTGCTCACTGGTTTCTAACTTTATAACTAAAATCTAAGTTTGGGGGTTTATTGAGATTTTTCATTTAAGATCTGTTTTTACCCGCTGATCCGGTGTCTGTGACATGCATTCTTGTGTAAGCACAACACATGAAACAGGAGCAATTTAAAAAGTACAAAAAAAGTCTTAGAAGCAGAGCAGTCCTCCCCCAAAGCTTTAATTTTTTTGTTCACAACACTCCAAAGAGGGTAGAGGGGAGGAGGAGGAGGAGGACGGGAGGATGGCAGTGGCCAAATCTGCTGTGGCCACCCCCTCATTAAGGATTTTGGTGTGAATGGAGCCACAGCAGCCCCTGCTGTAGTACACGACTGACATAGCTGTGGGCTGCTGCTGCCACCAGCCCTGGGCCAGCACCCAGTGAGCCTTCTGGTGGGAGAGGAGGGATGCTACGGAGCAAAAAGGAGTCATTGTTTAATTAAGTCTGTTCTTAAACACTGATCCCTTGGCCGAAGAGGAAAGAAAACCTGTGAAAGTACCTGAAAACAGTCAGCTTTTGTCAGTGTCATGTTTGAAAACATAGCCCAGGCAAGAGCCCTGGGCTAGTGCTGGCTCTGGGGTCAGCCAGGCACACTCCTTATAGTGTGTTCTTTTTGCTGGGGATCTGTTATATTGTTATTTGTACGTATTTCATAAAAAAGTATCATGAGAGCTGATGCAGAGGGAGGCTCTGCACCTAAATGAGCATGGGGTGGCCAGTGGTCCCTTAGGAAACTTGTCTCCTGGGGGAACTGGCATTGCTGGGCTCAGGACTTGGAGTGCCTTCTCCAGCACTGCTGGGGTTTCTCATTTCAAATGGGGAGAGTGCTAAACGAGCAGAATAGGTTTTGCTTCATTGGAAATGTCACTCTGTGGACTTGCCAGGTGAAGCTCGGTTGCAGAACAATGTGGAAAACAAACAAGGTAAATGGTTTTAGCACTGTGGTTACTGTCAGAGTGATCAGCTGGATTTCCCCTGCTGCTGGCACGGCCAGTGAGTGAGCTGGCGTGCCAGCACCCAGCCATGGGAGGGAGGAGATCAGGGATGAGATGGATCTCTTTTAGTGAAATTGTCTGTGGCCACTGACTACAAAAATAACCTGCATCAAACACCTGCTGAAATACATCATAAAGAAATCAATCTGATCTGAACCCTTCCTGAAGCGAGCAGGATTTCAGTACTTACTGGGAGTTACGTGCATTCCCAAGGTCTTTGCTCAGTTCGAGTTTAATATGGCCTTACTCTGCAGTCTTTCAATGTTCACACATTTGAACAAGGTGTAGAAGGATCCAGGAGTTGTTCACTTTTTGGACTAAACTGTATTTTCTGTTTATAATTCCCTTACTACAGGAGGCAGCATTAAATTCCTTTCTGGCAGATAGGAACACTTTACCTGAGAAATGTCAACAGCCATTTAACTTGAGCCAGGTGTTTTCAGCCAGCTCACTTTTGCCAACAGTAGTGCCCGCTCTCTTCCGTAACATTTATTACATCATAGATGTAGATTTTGGAGCTGAATTCACTTGAAGTGATTCAGTGGTTTAGTAATTCAAAGACCATCAGATGCTGTGATGAGAATGAAGCACAGGGCAATGCCTTTCCTTTGTTCCCCTGTTCCGCAAAACTTGCTCAGGTTAAAAAAAAAAAAAAAAACAAAAAAAGCCACCAAAATAGCAGACTTTTGCCATGTCAAAGCCAGAATATTTTTTGTTCAAATAAATAAACTTTTTGTCTTGTGCAAATGAATCATTATATGTTTTTTGTATTTGTAAATCTGTGGGGAAGCATTAAACAGTCATCTCTGTAACGAAGGAGTAAATCATTGATAGAGGGGAGGGGCTCACCTTCCTGATGTTTCATTGTAATGTTTGTTGTATATATTTGCACATTAAAGTGTGTATCTTTTTTTCTAATAAATTAATATAAAATTTAACTGTGATCTTTAACTATTGTGATAAGCAAGGGTGCTCATGGGGAAAACTCCCACGTTTTTCATGTAATGTTTTTTCCATTTTTTCAATCTCTTATTAGACTGTGACTTGTTCATATAAATTATTTGGACGCATATTCAAACAAATTTGCAAACAAATTTCATACACCTGCGTATCAGGAAGATGATTTACAGGTGACTTGAGAAACAAAGAACGATGAAGTTGTGACCTGGGCCGGTGTCTGCATCCTCCTGGGGCCTGGGTAAGTTGTGTTCCCCCAGCCCCTGCCCCTGCCGCAGCCACGGGGCAGAAATTGCTGCACTCACTGACCGAAAACATAGACCACGAGCACAAATTTCTTCAGCATATGCTCTGGGCTTGGATACAAAGACTAGTTGTTATTTAACCTGATCCTTTAATTGCTCTATGCTGAGGAGCATAGCTGCTGTTAATGTCATTTCCACATGCAGCGATCTGGGGACGTGGGATCCTTCCAACGTGCACATCTCGGGATTTTGAAGAGGAACTGCAGTCCAGGGGAGCTGAGCTGACCAAGCCTAGCTGCTAACAAGCAAGGTAGTTTGCGAAATAGTTTATTTATTGCTTCAGGCAAGTGTCACTTTTGGATCTGTGTGCTTTGTAATCCTGGCTGGATACCCACTGGTGAATCAAGGGACTTGTAGCGCTTGGAGAGCCATTGATGGAAACTTGGCTGCATGACTCCAGAAGCACAGACATGTGTAATTTAGATAAGCCTACGCCTGGGGGCTTGATAGAAGGGAACTGCATGACATTTTGTGTTCAGTCTTATGGGGAGGGCAGGCCAGATAAATAAAAGGTCAGATAAAGTCCTGACTGCCGGTTCACAGGCTGCTTCCGTGTCCTCTCTCCAGCGGAGATGGGAACAGACCTTTCAGCAGCGAGTACTCCCCAGAAAAGTGACCTCCCTCTCCCACACCAGGACCCAGACCCTCAGAGGGAAGCAAGCCATGGCAAGGCCACTGCCACCCCTGTCACAGTGGCCCAGCACGTCCCCTCCACGGGGCACTTCCCAGAGCAGCAGAGTGGTTGTCACAGAGGCTCCCAGCACCCAGAGCATCCCCACAGGCAGGGACAGCCCGGCCCATGGGACCCAACATCCTCTGAGCTTGTGATCAAGAAATCAGGCTCTGCGAGTAAACAGTGCTGAAATGAAGCAGTATTGAGGTTGCACAAAATTCAGGAAGCTCTCAGACTTCTCACGCCTCTGTGCAAAGTACTTTGGTGATTAGATAACAAGGGGAAAAGCCTGATACCAAAAAGGATGACTGTATAAGCACTTGGTAGAGGTTAGCCCCTCTAATCGCATCCGCAGTTTCAAACCATGTAAAATATTTCCCTGAAGCAAAAAGCTGCAGTCAGCCAGTTACCAAACCCAGGTCATCTTCATGGGGCATGAAACACAAACCCCCTCCAAAAAGTCAGTCATTCCATATCGCCCTGGTGCTTTTTGACTCTTTAACTCTTTTGGTTAAGAGTGCAATTGCCCTGGTCTTTTTCAGCCTGAGATGCTCAATAGAGCAGTACTTTAAAAATGGACATTCCTGTGTAACTGTGTCCATGCTGGGAACTGGATCAATGCAAGGTCTTGGGCCACAGTGGTGATACCTCATTTCTCTCCAGTAGCTCTCCAAGAGCTTTGGTGAAGTGACCTGTACTTTATTTCTGGGTTTTTCTGTGTGCATTTTGAGGGACAGTGACTCCCCCAGGGCTGGTGGCAGCAGCAAAGATGACATCTGGGTCTGCGCTGTCTTGGTCCTGCCCTTTTGTCAACAACTAAAGCAGGCTGCATGCTGTGTTTTGACAGGTCTTAAGATCTGCATTTCCCCATCAAACAGCATCTAAAGTTCCTCTTCCAGTTGTTTAGGGCAGAGAGTGCAGAGGGACTTTGCTCTACCAGTTATACATATTTATAGGCGCGCGCTGGGTGTCAGCAGCATCATATCCAGCACTTAAACAAAAAGGATGTGTCTGACAGAGACTCAGCCCCTTCCCACCCAGGGAGCTGATCCCAGGCCCTGTTGTAATGCAGGAGCAAGCAGGGAGTGACTCAACCTTTCATTCATTGTCCTGTTTTGTTCTACTTTGATATTTGATTTTCCTTTCACATCCGATATTAGCATAAGCTCATTGTTATACAGCCCCAACACACCCTGCTCTGACAGCTCAGGGATCTCAGCATTGGCAAATTCATCACTGTGTAAGGGCCAGAAAAGCCCTTGCTCTGCTGGTGGGCTCTCACCAAGGGCTTTAAAGCTTAATGTAATTTGGGGGTGTTTCCCTTGCATGTATTTGTGGTGGTTGTTGTTGCAGTTTGGTTTGCTTCTTCATTCAAAAATACTTTGGAAGCTCAGCTACTTGGAAGTGCCTCAGACTATGCCACTATCTAGAGGAGACGCTTGGTTTTGCTACTGCTGCTGTTATTTCTTAGCTCCCTTCCCCACATGAACAGCAAAGAGCAGTGGGGAAGACCTACTCTGTATTTGTCCCCACAAGGAAAAAACCACAGATCCCTCATGTGAATGCAACGGTTCTGCCTACTCTGGGAGGACAATGTTCTGCAAATAGCTTGGCTTTCTCTTGGAAGGCATGGAGCGTTTTGTAGAGTTACAGAAGGATGGAAAAGGCAAAACATCAAATAAAGGCAGCACTGGCGTGTGTCTGCCAGAGCTGGAGGAGATGCTAGAAGGCAAACACAGCTTTTGCCTTTAGGTTTCCAGATCAAAGTTCAGGACAAGCTTTCAATGCAACCTTTTGTACAGCCTGACAGAGACAATTCCTCTACAGAAAGAGATGGAGGATTGAGCAATAAAGGGATTAATAAAATCTCTGAGCTCTCAGTAACTCTTTGGTCTTTCTGCTTTGTACTAACATAGCTTTTGGGACACAGCCAGGCTTGCCAAGCAAAGGGAGCCAAGGTTTCATACAGGAGTCCCAGTGGGGTTTGAGTGCTTCCAGCACTGGGGCATCCAGCTGAGATCTCCCTCAACCCTGGGGGTTCAGAGCTGCTGAGCTGTTCTCCTTCAAAACATCAGTGCCTGAGGACGTGCCCGACCAGGGGCTACATTATCCTGGTGTGGGCAGCCCTCGGAGGGCTGCAGGGAGAGACTGACCCTCACCCACCTTCTGCTGCTCCTTCTCCTGCAGCCTGACACCCCACCAAACCCCACAGGGCTGTGCCCAGGCCCCTTGGGGCCCCAAAAATCCACGCTGGCAGAGGCTGAGAGATTTGCCCTTGGCCACGGGAGCAGGCAGCCCTCCATCACTCACATCTTAGGGTATGTTCTTTCAGACTATGAACTATTTATTTCAAAGAACCAAGCAAGCTCAGTGTACTGACAATGGCAAACGAAGCTCCTCGAAAAGCGTAAGGGCTTCCCAGCAGAAAATGTATCTGGCCTTTGGTGTATATTTTATCCATGAAGATCAGGCAGTCAGCAGGCTAGTAGGAAGGCTGTTTGCAGTTCAAAAATAAGAGATGTTTTTAAGATTTTTGTTTTTAATAAAAAATGGAAGATTCATCATTTCTTTGGTTTGACTTCCTCCACAGTTAGTCAGAAATCATCAGGAAATGCCACCGAAGGAAATCCGTCCTGTTCTGCCTGGTCAGCACAAGGAATGTGCGCACGCAGAGGAGGACGGCGAGGGGGGCTCTGGCTCTTCCCAGGCAGAGCTGCGTGACGCAGGAGAGACAGCTCAAGAGCAAACTTGTAAAGTACAAATGACAGAGAGACAAAATAAAGATGGATTTCCACAATCAGCACATCCAGAATCTGACTTTTACACAAAATGAAAATTTGGAATAACTCCAGAAATGTCAGTAAATTTTTTTTCCACGTTTATATATAACACAAAAGCATCTTTTACCATCCATACACCTCTTCAGACGCTGCTTTTCTCTGAACAGCTCTGACAGTTAAATGATACACAGGGCTCATCAAATAGCTTGATTTCTATTGCAGACTTGCCCATTTCCTTGTGCTCCTCTCATCGGTGACCACATCGTTACTCCCTCCACAGCTTGAAGCTGGGCTGGCTCAAAAAGCACTTGAATGTTGCTATTTACCTCCAGCCTCTCTGGATCAAGTTGGAAGAAAGGGATGTTTTGGTGTAATTCCATCAGGTATGGTAGCCTATACACTTGTGGCTGCAAAAATGGAGACATCTAAGTGAAAGCACCATTTTTTTCCATTGGCAGTGTAATGTTAATCCTCCTAACGGGCTCTTGCTAACTCTGCTGACCACAGTTGTTCATTAAGAAATTAGAGGGAGGAGCGTGTAGAGTGGCTGGTCTATATTGCAAGGTGAGAAATAGAGATGTGCAGGAGTTTGGAGCAAATGGAAGAGCAGCTGTACCCATGAGGTTTGTTTCAATCCTGTGGATAAGACACTGTGTAGAAAAGGTTAAGTAGATGAACAACCCCAAAACTCGGTTTTACAGGCTAGTACAGAGTCTATATCTTTTCTAGAAGCAGATGTTCTTATTCAGAACAGCATTGTGTTACTCTATAGCAGTGAGTAGAATGTGCCAGGTAAGGCAGCGAAGCATGGTCGATCAGCATTTTGCACCACTCTCCAGCTCTGCTCCTCCGGAGGAGGCAGGCACAGGCAGGCTCACCCTCAGGGCCAGTTTAGCATCCCCAAGAGCAGAGCCCAACCCCTGCCAGCAGGTCCCCAAGCCACTGCAAGGCAGATAAGGACAATAACCTTTACAGGCAGAAAAGCTGGAGTGTCCCAGCCCTGCATACACTGTATCCAAAGGTTCTACAAGCAGAAAGAGGAAACAGCTCTGAATTGCGTATCTTGTTTATCAAGGGTTTTTTTCCTACAGGTGCTTTTGATCCTGCTTCCCAGGAAGCAGCAGGTTCAGGGAGCTCCGTGGCATAGGGACACCCCCGAGGTCCTTCTGCCAGGGAAAGGCTCAGCAGGTCCAGCAGCACGGAGCCCACTCCTGGCCGTGGGG